ATAAAATTATCATTTCTAATAACTTGATTATAATGTTTTTGACATATAATATATTTATCTAAAGATCCAAGAGTATCTTTTAGTTCCAAATAATAATCGACTAAAATATTGATTTTTGAATAACTTTTGGTTCTATTGCCTTACGTATTTTTTGATTTTCACTAATTTCACATTCAATTAACTCCAATTCTGTATGCTCATATATTTTTACTAAATTTTTAAATAACAAATTTTTTCATCTTTTTCTTCTTCTACTAATTGGTTATCAATATTTTCTTCTGCAATTTCCATTATTTCCATTATTTAAAATTTAAAATTTAATTATAATTAAATAAATTCTAATTTGTTTTTATTAAATAACAAAAAATAATTACATGCTAAATAATTTTATTACAATTTATATATTTTTTTGCATATATTTAATTTTATATAAAATAATTAACAACAATTGTACAATTATGTTATTGTATAATCATACCATTATACAATAATGCTATTATATAATTGCACTATTTTACAATCACAGTATTGTATAATCATGCCATTATACAATTAAAACATAATTATACAACTATAATTTTATCAAAGATACACCAAATAAAAATCAAGAAGTCTAAAAATAGCTTTCTTTAGACAACGAACCACGAACTTTAAATAATACTATATTTTATTATTTTAGTCAGATTGTTTAAAAGCCCGCATTCCATTGTCTAAAGAAAGCTATTTTTAGACTTTCTTGTTTTCACTTGGTGGCACCCATATCAATTACTAATCAGATATATATACATCAATACTAATTACGTACTCTAGAGATGGGCAATAGATAATAATAAGTAATTTTTACAATCATTTTATTGCTAGCAGAAATGTTTCGTTCAATCTCAGTTTTGATCACTCAATTCTGACCACCATCATGTGTTTCATTTGTATACGTAGTAAGTAATATAATGTAATAATTACTTAATATTACTTAATATAAGTCATTATTGCTTACAAATTACTTGAATAAATTATTTTTACAAGTGAAATTTGCCGTAACTATTGCCAGAAACTCAAGTGCCAGGCCAAGATCCACATTCACGACACTACTTCACAATCCCCGAAGAAGTACAACCTGCTAAAGAAAGTGAAAAGAATTACATTCACAACGCCATTTCACATTCCCGGAGTATAACCTACAAAAGAAAGAGTGTGTTAGTGAAAAGAATTAAATAAGAAAAAAAAAAAGACGACGAAAATAGAAACTGGTACACTCCTTATACTAGCCCAGGCCAAGATCCATATTCGTAACACCATTTTACGTTCTCCGAAGAAGTACTACCTACAAAAGAAAGTGTATATTAGTGAAAAGAATTAAATAAGAAAAAAAGAATATGAGAAATAGAAACTGGTACACTTCTCATACCAGCCCAGGCCAAGATCTCTGTACACAGTTCCATTTCATGATTCCCTAAGAAGTACAACCTACAAAAGAAAAAGTGTTAGTGAAAAGAATTAAATAAGAAAAAAAAAAAGACGACAAAATAGAAACTGGTACACTCTTTATAAGTAAAAAAAAAAAGGACGAGAAATAGAAACTGGTACACTCCTCATACTAGCCCAGACCAAGATTTCTGTACACAGTGCCATTTCACGATCTCCGAAGAAGTACAACCTACAAAAGAAAAAGTGTTAGAGAAAAGAATTAAATAAGAAAAAAAAAAAAGATGCCGAAAATAGAAACTAGTACACTCCTTATAAGTAAAAAAAAAAAGGACAAGAAATAGAAACTGGTACACTCCTCATACTAGCCCAGGCTAAGATCTCTGTACACAGCGCCATTTCACGATCTCTGAAGAAGTACAACCTACAAAAGAAAAAGTGTTAGTGAAAAGAATTAAATAAAAATAAAAAAAAAAAGACGAGAAATAGAAACTGGTACACTCCTTATACAAGCCCAGGCCAAAATCTCTGTACACAGCGCCATTTCATGATCCCCGAAGAAGTACAATCTACAAAAGAAAAAGTGTTAGTGAAAAGAATTAAATAAGAAAAAAAAAAAGACAACAAAATAGAAACTGGTACACTCCTTATAAGTAAAAAAAAAAGGATGAAAAATAGAAACTGGTACACTCCTCATACTAGCTCAGGCCAAGATCTCTATACACAGCACCATTTCACGATCCATGAAGAAGTACAGCCTACAAAAGAAAAAGTGTTAGTGAAAAGAATTAAATAAAAAAAAAAAGACAACGTAAATAGAAACTGGCACACTCCTTATACTAGCCCAGACCAAGATCTCTGTTCACAACATCCTTTTACATTCCTGCATTCCCAAAGTACAATCTGCAAGTAGAAGTGTGTTTTAGTAGAAAAAAAAATAGTATATTTCAAAAATAAGTAAAATTTTGAAATCGATACTAAAATAAGGTTTTTCAACGACAAAAATCATTACAGATTAAAATAAAGTTTATATATTGCTTATTTGAAGAAATCAGATTGATAGTAAAATATCAGAATTTTTGTATGTGTGCTAGAAATTTTTGGAATCTTTTTGATTACTATAAAAGGTGCGATCTGCATCGTTTAAATTTGATAATATCCGAGACTGCATTGATACTCTCAGGTTCATGTGTATATTCTGTCATATATTGATACTCTCAGATTTATGTGAATAAATCACACTTTTAGACAGGTGGATTTGGATACAACCAATCAAAAAGTTAAAGTGTACAAACTTAGAATTGAATAGTATAGATAAGATATTGAATCAATAAGAGCAAAAAATAATTTACAATAAATAAAAGCCAGTGTATTAGTTTATATATTCTGAATTAGCCCAATCAGAAAATCTGAGGGTAATTTTTCTAACAAAGATCTCATTTATTTTTATTTTTTTTATCTTCAAAGGTGAGGCCCAAAGATCCCATTTATTATCAATCCATCTATTACAATTAAATTATTAGCACAAAAAAGTCTTTTATAACTTATGCAGTATTAATAAGTTTACAATATACTTTTCTTTCTCATTAAAAAATTGATTTAAATAGTAAAAATTCAATTAGTTAGAATTATAGGATATATATATTTTTTTAATTTTAATAGTATGGTAATAAACAATAATTTTTTTGATTTTACAAATCTAGGTTCAAATATTGATATGGTTTATGATATTTATAAAAATTCAAGGATCTGATAAGCAAAATTGTAATGATTTTATATCTTTTTAGAAAAAATTAAATTGTATAACCTAGAGTTTCAATCCATCAACCGTTTATCTATTTATTTATTGGATATCAAATTTTAATAGATAAACGGATAAAATAGATTAATAAATAGATAATTCAATTATTTAATAAATATCTGGATTGATAGTAACTGTTAACATGTGATAACGGTTGCCATTATCATGTGATAACGGTTACTGTTAATGGTTACGATTATCACATGATAACGGATACTATTAATAACGGTTATTATTAACGGTTACCGTTATTGTAACGGCTACCGTTATTGTAACGGTTACCGTTATTGTAATGGTTACCATTATTGTAATGGTTACCGTTATTGTAACGGTTACCATTATTGTAATGGTTACCATTATTGTAACGATTACAGTTATTGTAACGGTTACCATTATTATAACAGTTACTGTTATATAATGGTATTATCATTACGTATTATAGTTAACGGTTTTGCAATTTTCCTAGCATACATGAGCAGAATCGCACGCCTGTGATCTAATACTTATTGGACATATACCAGCAAATAAGGCTAGATATTAAAACTTTATTTAAATTGCTTCAATGATATATACAGCATACATCAGCGCATTTGATGTATAATTGGGCCGG